GCGACAGACTTAGGTAAGATGGTGGTAGCCAGGCGGACTTAGAACAAGCCCTACCACCAACCAAACCGAACATAAAAATCTGCTCCCACTGGGAATAGAACCCGGGACCTCTGCGTCTGAAGCTTAATTGAGTAGGTGCAGACAGAGCTCAGCAAACAGAACTCTCCCGTATCATTTCATTCTTTTCCAGCAAATTAAACTCCTTAAAAAAGAAATCAATATTATTCTTAACGAAGCAAGTAAGTTCTATTTGTAACTAGAACTGTTGTATAAGACAATAACTATTAAAAAAATATAAAACTTTAAAAATATAAACTTTTTGCTCTTTCGATTAGCAAAAAACTAATAATTGCTTTTGTTTTTTCATTTCATTAAAACGTTTTCACTAAGCGTGACTCAATGTAATAAAATATTCCAGTACTTAATCTTCCACAAAAATATTGTATCTTACAAAAGTTTAAATTGGTAGTTTTGAAAGATTAACGAAAGTCCTAAAAGGAATGGCGAATTTCAAAACAACAACAAAAATAAGTAGTTAAAATGTTAAATAACTTTTCATTACCACCAGATGAAAGAAATGTTACATGATAATAAAGGCTCTCTTATCTTATTAGTATAGAGATACCAAATAGTCGTTTCCCTGGGGTCAACCACCTTTTCTACTATCTTTTGAGGGGGTCTAAGAAGGTTTTTAGAAAACTGACAATAGTGACATGTCATCATCATCATCATCATTATCATCAGCCTTGCTAGGATGCGCCTCATGAAAAAATCTTGTCGATGATTTTGACGACAAATGTATGGTTTTATCGTGCAAAATCAATAGAATGACTTGATAAAGGTTTTCGTGGCGACTCCACATTCTAGGCCTATTATACAGGTTAGGGGACTATTCCCACATCTCGTTCCTACTGCTGCAACTCCTGTGTAGCCAGGATCTACAGATTGACCCAATATAAATATTACTATTTTTTTACTATTTAATTATACAATTTATTTACTCTCCATTGCAAATGGAGGATTTGGCCTTGAGTATATTTTTGTAATAAAATACACCCTTAACCGCAAAAATAGATAATCCGAGATGTAAATAAGAGTTTTGAACTAGAGATAAGACGTATTTACTAGAACAGATCCACACACTAGGTATTTTACAGTACTAGGCGGCACCTATTCCAATTTTTTAAATACTTGATCCACCTAGTATTTTATAAATTACACGATTTCCGACCCTATCATCAAAGCAATAGAGGTTATTATTGCGTAATCCGTAGTCGTGTATTACGCGCACCTAGTATTTCTCGCTAAGCTTATGTGCTATCGTAGAGATTCACTCCGTCTCTGTCTGACCAAACAAATTTGAGCGCGGCGAAGCAAACGCACACAAATGTAGTCAAACCATATTCAGGTAAATAAGAAAAAATATGTAAATATTTTTATCAAATTGATATCTTTTAAATACGCCAACTTTAAGTTGACAGTCCTAAGCCTGTTGAAGTATGAAGGGAGGAATTATTATTCAATTTCAAATTGCATTATTCATACTACGATTGTATCTTTAAAAAAAAAGTATTTTAAAGTCATATTACGTGGATTAGTCCGCACTAGTCGCGTAAAGTATGCTAAATTACTACGTACTAGGTGGAATAGGTATTTGGATCGAGTATTAATAAATACTAGGAATAGGTGCACCTAGTATCAAATTTACCTAGTATAACCCATCTCTATTTTGAACCTCATTTACATTAAATGTTAATATTCATTCATTGGGAAAAGGAAAAAGCAGCAAGCATTCGTCTTTCATTTCCGGGAAAAAGTATCAAGATCTCTGGTTTCCATTAAGATTTGATAAGCTGACCTTTAAATACGGAAATAAAATATTTACCCTGAGTGCCTATTTTAAGAAGGTTTTGCGATAACCATAAGCGGAAAATTGGGACTAACATTCATTCGGGTGGATTAATAATATTTTAAAAAAGGTTTATGATTAAAACACTCACAAATCCTTCCTCTCGTTCCCACTGCTGCTACTCCTGTGTTTGGCTACCAGGGTCTTCAGCTTGATTGCCAAAAGAACTCATCCAGTAAAGGCCTAAGCAGAGAAACTGTCATTGAAACCGCAACTTAATTTGATTCCAATGAGGGTTTTCGCGTATGAAAGATCCGCTAGATGGCGGGACGTGGATGTGGGGTCTGATTGCTGCGTGATTGGTGGATTTTGACATAACATCTATCAATGTCATGTCAAAAATAACCAATCATGCAGCATTTGGACCTCGCGTCGACGTATTGCGGTCTCTGGCGGATTTTTCATACGCGAAAACCCTCATTAAATAATTATTTCTTTCCAGTACAAAGCTGATGACATTATGACAATCAAACGTTTAAATCTTTAACGCTAAATTGAACCACCTTCAACCGTAAGTATAACCATAACTGGTGTTTTATCATCAACGTCACTTCTGTAGCGAGTTTTGAAGTTTTTGAATTTTGAGATTTGGGCTGACATTGCTGCATTGTATTAAGTTTGTTGTCGACACGACAAGAAGAAGAAGACCTGTGTTTTTATATGAATTTTGACAGATTTTGACATTTGTTATAGTTAGTAAGATGGTGCAACCCAGCCTAAGTAAAGACACTTACGCCCGTATTTACAAACATTACCTACTATGAGGTGTCACAGTGCGCGTGGACGCACACCTTGTGCGACAAAGGAACAAATCACAGAGCTCTATCCAACGCTGTGCGTTTGATTTGCTGCTTCACTTAAGCAAACATCTTTTGTATTTACGGGTGTTAATAATGACACTATGGTTATTGTTAATTTTTAGGACCTTTCGTTATGTAAGTACTATTTTTAGGTCTACTTGAGATAGGAAACTTATTGTTTTGCAATTAATCTAAATATAATATAACTCAAAGGTGACTGACTGACTGACTGACTGACATAGTGATCTATCAACGCACAGCCCAAACCACTGGACGGATCGGGCTGATGCCATGCAGGTAGATATTATGACGTAGGCATCCGCTAAGAAAGGATTTTACGAAACTCCACCCCTAAGGGGGTAAAACGGGATCAACGCTTATGAAGTCGCGGGCGGCCACTAGTTAAATATATAGGTCAATAAGTAACTTTAGTCGGACGTTAATAGATTTACCTGGTAACTTATATAAGTGGACATCGCGTGATATATTGACGCGCTGCATACCTGTGTGTTTGTATATTATCATCAAATGTACCGTTAGTAGAAAACTGAAAAGGCTTTATCTTTTTATTTATCGTTCTTTTAGAATGAAAGAAATAAACAGATACCAGAAATAAATGAAATCCACTACCCTGGTTTCCGAAATGTTCCATGAAGTTTTTTTAATAAAATTGAAATTACGTGACTGATCTTCAGTGCTTTTGATTTACGAAAAATTAGGCTGAGTTCCACCACCTAACTTTGACCGTAACTATAACGAGAACCGGTGTATTTTGTGTGGAGTTTAATAGATTTTTGACGTTTGTTAAAGTTAAAGTAAGATGTTGTAGCCCAGCCTTAGTATAGTTATAATGATACGAGTTTCATGAACCTCCAGTAAAGTATTACGCCCGTATTCACAAACATTACTATGAGGTCTCACAGTGCGCGTGGACGCACAGGATGACACACGAACCAATCACAGAGCTCTATTTAACGCTGTGCGTTCGATTTGCTGCTTCACTTAAGCAAGTGTTTGTGAATACGGGCGTTAATCTATACTTACTCAAGATGAATCTACTCGCTTGAGTTACTTAAAAGGCCATTAGGTACCTAACTAACAACTATCGTATTTATTTACACAAGTTTATAAACGATCAAACTAAACTTCATAAGATTTCTTGGTAAAACGATATTAATGGGAAAGTTTCATCTTTAATTAGCAAAGATGAAGGATGGTTATGTGTTTAGTTTCAATGGATACAGGCTCGTAACAATTTATAGCTTTCTCAAGATAAAATGACTTATAGATTATAAACCTAAGTGAAATAGAAAATAAAATAAAATAATAAAAAATAAAATAAAATAATAAAAAATAAAATAAATAATCTTTGGACAATTTCACACAGCGCCAGCTAGCCCCAAAGTAAGCAACTTAATGCTTGTGTTATGGGTGCTAGCTTAACGGATATACTACTTATATACTTTTTTTTAAATACATACATATTATACATAGTCACACCCAGACCCGTCACAGAAATTAAAATTCATCATTTCAATTTCTGCCCGGCCGGGAATCGAACCGGGACCTCTCGGCATAGTAGTCCGTTCTGAACCACTACACCAAACGGCCCACCGATCCGAAATGAATCGCATTTTTTGAAATGAAGGTGTGAAAGACATAATCTTCAACCACACCAACGCGTGCAGATCGCCATCGCCGACGCCATCATAGGCCAATGACAGGTCGCGCGGACTGTCATGGGTCGCATAAAAATATAGAAAATCCAGGGTTTCCGTAAAGAAGCCATATTTTAGCGACTTTTAATAGAGTAGGAGAACCCATGATAACATTTCTTAAAGAATTGCTTGCATTTCCCAAAATTTTTCTAAGCATGTACCTTATCTAGATAATTCGGCCTTGCAGTTGTCAATGGATACTTTATCATACATGTATGTATCAATTGATTTGTATTAATGTAGCTAATTACAGCAAAAGAAATACATATGTATCAGTTTTACTATGTTTCTCTGTATACATTATCACACTTTTTTCACCACATTCACTCACTCTCTCCCGTTTCAGCATCATCTCCATACACTGATTTTGCTGCCACTATATTTGAAAGTAAAATATCATTTCTCCAACCCATTATTGGTGCTGTATTTTTTCCTGCATAAATTCTCTTAACTGATCCTCAAGTTTGCACCTTACTGGTTAGCATGCATGGCGAATTATTGGCTGTGAACACTGGCAGCAAAGAAAAGTGCACACAGTTAAATAGTGTTAGTAACACACGCGCAGAAAAAAAAACGCACACAGTCCACCAAAGCCATTGCAGCGTGACGTTGGATAAAAATCATCAGTTGCTGCCAGAGGGCTTCATTGACGAACAAACCACCGCCGAGGGTGGTACAAACGACCGGGGTTACAGATGGATTGGTGATAGCGAGTGCGAAAGTGTTATGTTAGTGTTACAGACAGAAGTGACAAAGTTCAAAATGACTCCTCTAGTTTTGTTGTTCGCTTTGACAATTGGACATGTAACCGGGGTGGTGGAGTTAAGCTGTAGTGACAATGCTACGTGCATCGAGCAGATGCTTAAGGATACAGCGAGGAGTTTGCGGCAGCAGAAGATAGTTAGGTTGTTCGATGCACTGACGATCGAACCATTGGGCATGAGGTCGGCGAGAGCGAACGAGAGTCCTCTGACGAGATTCACGAAGAATCACGCTTTCAGCTTCGACTGGAACGACTATACGTTTAGAGTGACGCGACCGCAGGGCAGGAGTGACGTCATGGACTTGGAAATCTACGAGAGCAGGAGTGCTAAAGGTTGGTAGCTATCTTTATTACTTAGTTTCAGGTATCAAGCGAAAAATTACTAATGCCACACTAATTACAAAGAATGTTGAGTCACTATTCCGTGACAGATATTATTATAATCATATAGCATTAACAATAAGAGTCTCATGCCTATTAATATTACTACAAAAATAACATCCATACCTTATTCCAACTGCAATCTTTGATTAGCTAATTAACATAATCATAGGCTTGAATCTATTTTTATTTTTGCATTTTTGAAACGAATTTTTCTCTTTGGATCTATGTCTTATATGACATGTACATAAGGGTTGTCAATTCTGTAGTATTTCTCTAGTTGTGAATAGTAGTTCTGAATATTAGGCCGTGTAAAAGTACCATAACACATTCAAAAGTGCTCCTCAAAACCAAACTTACTGAAAATTAATTGTGTTAATGAGTTTTTCTTCCTTCTTGCCATAATATAGTATGCAAATAGCTGATAGCATAGAAATCGTAGTATCACTGCACATACCCGCTTCGGGTCATTAAGACTGACTGCGCTAACTACCCCCCATTAATCATTAACTCGTAGTTAACCGTAAATAGAGTTAATTGAGTTCAATGCCTTACCTGTTATGAAATAATGAGGTGATCTACATAGGTAACATTGTATCTTTAATAGGGAAAGGATTTATTTTGTAGATCGGAAATTAGGTAATCTAATAAGTAGGGCTTATGCCCATTTTCACCATGATTTCCTAATTTTCAAGTGACCCCTATACCTAGTAACACATAACAGGAATTTTGTTTTCATAGGAGTCACATAAAAAATATGGATTGATGGTGAAAACGGGCATTTGTTACTTAAATAGACTTAAATAGACTTTGCCCGTTTCACAATCAATCCCTCATTTTATGTAACCCCTATGGTAACACATAACAGGAATTTTGTATTAATAAGGGTCACTTAAATATAAGGGATTGATGGTGAAAACGGGCATTAATAATATTGATCTAACTTAGATGTAACTTTAATATTGACCTTTAGCTTTTTGAACTCTATATCATGAAACTTGGGTGTATTGTTGAAGTCAAGTTATTTTTACGCTGTGACATAACGTCATTCCTAATAAAAATCGTCGTTATTATAATAATCATGACTGCTAGATGATTCTAATCTAATTTAAGTATTGCTAGGGAAGCAAACGGTTGTGGAATCTAATCCAACTTAAGGCAGTCGATTTTTTTCAGAAGAAAAACCTTGTTATACATTTTTGTTGACGAGGAATCCGATCTTTCATTAAGTATATAATACCTATGTATCCCCAGTAGCTATTGTTATTTTCGCCTAACATTGCTATTATCCTGTAAAGTTACGCCTTAAAATATCTGAAATTATAAATTGCATAGCTCAAGGTACTGAAGAAGAAATGCACTATAGCGCTCGATAAAATTTTTGCATCAAACCGTTTTCTTTTCTAGTTTCACGTGGTAATTATTATTAATAATTATACGTACAATATAACGAGCGCCTGTTATAATCTTTTACGTTATGGTTATGCTTCGTTGCATTAATTAAGTTTTTGTTAAGGTGTGAACACAACGATTTAAAATATCCTACCAGAAATAGTTTTAAATAAATAAATAAATAAATAAATAAAAGTAAAATGTTATCAAGGCGAGAAGTGGTCTCGTGGTCAAAAATATATAAGGTCTCATGTAGATTCAAACTTCTAACTCTACACTGAAATATTGTCAAGACGAAACCGTATGGTTCGTATTATCTAAAAGTTATCAAATCTCAAGTAGAGTCAAGTTTCTAACTCAACACGCCCTAACTCTACAAGCTCTAACTTCAAAACTTTACACCTTAGTTCAATATCGACGCCTTAGAGCGAAAGAAGTAATTTCTCAGGAGGAAGATAAAACTGCGTGATATTCTGTGAAATTGACCAAAACGCATGAGAAAAAATGCATTCCCGAAGTTTTCACTCTGAGGCGACGATATAGGGCGGCCGTTTGCAATTGCGTTTCACTTGGCTGATCTTAGCAAATAATTAAAAATACTAAAAACTTGTCTTAATCAATAAGCTGATAATGAGATTGATTTTAGTGTTTATTAGTTAAGATTGGAAGCTGTCAATTAATATAAGTACTAACAACTCATTAGAGATGAATTGGTTTTATCAAGCTGTTAACGTTTTTTTTCAGTGAGCATGAGATATTCAGGTCAAATCAACGTTGTTTACTTGTGAATTAATGTTTTACTAATATTTCAAATATCAAATACTTCTTTCTTAATTACTTATTTAAGTATATTTTTTGTAAAGTCACTTTTTATTGATGACGTCATCTGCTCTGATGACAATGGTTTTGATATTTTATTTCAAGTCATTACCTATAATCTGGAATCTTGTGACAAAATAATAGAGCATTTAGCACTGCGCTTAGTGGTACTCATTCAAATACCCAGCTACAATGTCACTTACAAGTTTAAATTCTACATTATTTTAGTGTGATAAATCAAACATTTTAGTGGTACAGTCAGTTTCAAATTTTTCGTGACACCAAAAAAGTTCTCAACGTCTTTGTTACAATAATTGGAATTTGGTTGTGTAGTCACCTTTTTGGCCACTTTGACAAAATTATCATGAACTAGTTGACGATGAGGAAAACGTATTCATCATCATCATCATCATCTCAGCCATAGGACGTCCACTGCTGAACATAGGCCTCCCCCAATGCTTTCCATGTTGCCCGGTTTGTAGCGACCTACACGTCCAGCACCTTACTGCTACAAGACGTATTAGAATCTGTTATCACTTTAAGATATTGTAATTACTTGATGATCAAGATGTATCGTTTTAATTGATGATTTTATAACACTTCCAGTAAAAAATACTTTAATAATAAAATATGACAAATATTATATTTATCTGTGTGTACTCGCCCGACGTAATATCTTCATTAGAAATGAGATCAGAAGTTGCAAAACCATAACAGCGTATGATTAAATCATTTTACTTCACAGAGCGTGCGTATTTTGATAAGATGTACGTACACATCCGTTTGTGTGCAAAAATTACAGGTTTTTCTACAAAGAAAATGAATTTTCATCCGTAATTATAAGCCTAGGCCCAGACCACCGATGTTTAGTCGGCCGATAGTTGGGCCCGATTCTAATTTTTATGAAGAATCGGCCGATATAAAACCGTTGTACCCGTTGAAGTGCGCAACTTCTAATATTTCCTCAGGGCTCTCTAAGCTCCTACCTATACCTCTTAAATACGTTTTATTTTTGTATGGACATATTTATTTCATAGACCAACAGGGTATAATTATTAATACCAACACTAAAAAAAAACTATAAATTGAATCTTGGAGTGGTCTACTGTATTTACATAATTTTTTGCCCCCTTATCTCATGTTTACGTTATTGGCGGCCATTAAAATGTAGGTACTTGAAATATATTCTTCCTCCCTTTCCTTCTTCCTTTTGATCTTTGAAGAGATATTATCCATACTGATTAACAGCCTGACCCAACTATCGGCCAACTAAAGTCGGTGCCTAGGCTAAGTTATGACTTATCAACCTTTGTTAAATTTTACGATTACTCGGGCACAAGTAGGATTTTAAACAACGGCCAGATTTAAGATAAGATTTTCCTCTATGATTTCAACAATCGTACTGTTTTGAGCCATATCCTGTAGAGATAAAGTTCAAACTTTGTTGCAGAAAACCCATATATTTAGAATACTCTAAGGTAACTACTGTACTAAACACGATGACAAGCCTTCAAAGTTAGTGGCACTAAAATGCACACATAACTGAACAAAGTATAGTAAAACCAATAACGTGTGGCATAGTGAAGTCACGAACCGGAAAATGAAGGGAAAACCGGCAAGTTACGGTCAATCGTAAATCCGATGGAGACTTAAGGCTTACTACAAAAGTTTAAGTGTTGTCTTGAAGTATACATGACATATAGGGTGAAAAATAAATCAGAATTTACATTTTTCAAAATAAACACCATTTAGATTACAAATATTCTATACACTACCTTAAGTCGGCGCCAGTAGAAACTGTACTTTTCAACCGACTTAAAAAAAAAGGAGGAGGTTCTCAATTCGACCCGTATGTTTTTTTTTTTTTTTCTATGTTTGTTACGCGATAACTCCGCCAATTATGAACCGATTTGAACAAATCTTTTTTCGGCGTATAGGTAATACCTCAAGGGTGGTCCCATTTAAATTTAATAATAGAAAAAACAACCCCCAAGGGTGGAAAATTGGGGATGAACTTTTTTATACGCAATATCTCCGCCGATTATAAATCAATTTGAACGATTATTTTTTTGTTGAATAGGTATTATCAAAAGGGTGGTTTCATGCGAATTTGAAGAAAATATTTCACCCCCAAGGGTGGAGAATAGTTTTTTTTGTGTTCACGCATTTGAAGTCGGTTTTATTTTTTTAAAAAGTTAATTATTCTAAGTACGAGTAAGATAAAAATATTATCAAAGGCATGTTGAACTTGCTGACTGATTGATGATTCCAGACTTCCTAAGACTTACTTTACAACACTGGTCTATCGTGGTGAACCCAATCGTAGAACAAGCATACTTTTTTAAATGCAGAACAAGGCAGATATTTGACCGCAATGAGGGTTTTCGCGAATGAAAAATCCGCCAGATGGCAATACGTAGACGCGAAGTCCAAATGCTGCATGATTAGTTATTTTTGACATGACATTGACAGATATGTCAAAATCCACCAATCACGCAGCAGTCAGACCCCACATCCACGTCGCGCCATCTAGCGGATCTTTCATTCGCGAAAACCCTCATTGCATCAGGACAGATGCAATTTAGGATGGTAGGTGCATACCTGCCCTGTATGTGCCTGTTCACTCTCGCTTTGAAAAGGCCCGGATGACGTACCCTGAATTTCGGGATAGACAGCAGCAGGCATAAAAAATGTTACTAAAATACTGTATCATAGGTAATGCATAGACAGCTCGGTGTCAA